TCGAAAGAGGCAGCTGCCGATGTTGCAGATTTAAAACTGTTGACGCACTCTATGGTTTTGCTTATCTACTACCCGGGTCTTGTCTTGAATCTGGTACCTTGGCAGTTTCCCTGTTTGGGAATCCCATAATTCTGGCTTTTTTTTACAAAACACGGCGAGTTAAGGAAACTTTCAACTATCATTCCCGTATTATGCTGTTTTCTTTGACTCACAATTATGCTAAAACGTTGCTACTTAATCAGCTCAGAAAGTTTGAAGAAAGAGTAATGTGAAGAGTTTTGCCAGTTGTTGTCGTCAACACCGAATAGAATACTGTCATGAAGCAATCATATGTTGAATGTTACACTAATTTAGACAAGAAAATGAGAGAATACATACCTCTTATTAGCCGAGTTTTCGGCCCGTACTGTAAATTACGGACCGAGTTTCGCGCGGGCCATAAATCGATGGAAAAAAAACGAGGATCCGTAATTTAGAGTACGGACCGAAAAAACGAGGCTAATAAGATGTTTATTATATGGCTTCTTCCTGTTTGGGGGACCGGAAACAGGTGCAGGACGCACAATTTGACAGTCATTTGACAGTCGTCAAAAAGAAAGTTTTTATTGGCACACGAAAACAATAGCACATAACAATAGCTTTCCGAGAAAGTAAAAACAAATTCGCCATGTTGGAAAAGTTTATTCGGTCAAAACTAAGAGCACTGTAAGTTTTAGCTCTTTAATGTAACGCTGGAGTATTTTGGAAACCGGACACTGTCTGTCTAGAAGACGTTTCCGTCTTTCCTCCGTTTGTCCTTGTAAGCAAAACACTGCAAAAGACAAAGAAGCTTTTCAAGGTAAGTTTGTTGTCATTGTCGAAGGATTCGCTCGTTAATTGTTTTTGGGAAAACCTCTCTTTCTGCCAGTTCATTCTCGTCTTCAATTGTGATCTGCGTTAAAATTTTCACTGACTAGAATTCTCTGCGTCGGTGAGGTTACGATTCAGTTTCTACATCAGCTTCGTTCTCATTAAAACAAAGCTAGGTTAAAATTTGGAAAGGCAAAGTCAACATCTTAGTCCTCAGGGTTTACAGACATATTTTAAAGTTTATTCGGTCAAAACTAAGAGCACTGTAAGTATTCACTTGTTAATGTGACGCTGGAGTCTTTTGAAAACTGGACATTGTGTCTGGCTCGAACTTGCCTCTATCTTTCTTTCGTTGGTCTTTGAAAAAACACTGCAAATGGCAAAGAAGCTTGTCAAGATGATCGGGTGCAGGTATGTTTGTTATCATATTTGTCGAACGAATTACTCATTTTCTCTTAGGCAAAACATCTCGAATCTCTGCCAGTAGATTTTCGCCTTCTTAACTGTGTACTGCGATAAAATTTTCAAACACTGACTACTAGAATCCTCTTCGATAAGATTACGAGTTAGTTTCTTCATCGCCTTCGTTCACAAATAAACACTGTTTAAAATTTTGAAGGCCAAAGTCAACATCCAAGTCCTCAAGGTTGACAGGCGTCTTATAACTTTATTTAAACCTTTTTTCCGGGGTAAGAGATTTAGAGCTCCGAAATGAGCATTTTCGTTAAAAATTTTGGTCCGTATAGCAAGTTACGGACCACAAATTGACCAATCGCATGGCGAAAACAGACTCAGCCATATAATAAATGAGATGTACGTCATCCAATCATGACTATACTGGACTATACGGTTTCCAAACTCGGCCTTTTGCCGAGGTGATCACATGACGGTTATTCGATTTCCGTTTTGCTTTCTTTCACATATTGTGTTTCAATTGCAGATACCCATACGAATCTAAGTCGGAGCCTATAAAGGTATTCCAGCTTTATCCCGACGCGTTGGCACCCCTTATCCAAGGTCTTATGGCATCAGGTTTTACACTTTTACCTGCTAATCCTCCAGTACCTCGGCTTTTTCTACCATGCCCAGTGGGAACATTTTCAAACTCCTCCAATCAAGGAACTGAAGGATGTACGCCATGTCCTGCAGGTATAAGGCTTGTTATATATATGTTATTCACCGGCTGGGAAAATAACAAAAAACTTATTCACCTGCCTAGGTCGGTCTGTATTGGGAGAAACTGTGCCCGAGGTCTTGAGTACCGCCCAAGACCGTAGGCCGAGGGCGGTACTCAGACTGAGGGCACAGTTTCTCCCAATACGGACCGACCTAGGCACGTGAATAACATTTTCATTTTTTCCAACTGAGATTCAAAAGTTTGAGGAAAATTTTCCTTCACTCTCCAATCAATGTGTGTTGAAGTAGGACGCGTTCGTGTTGATGAGGCGCGCGATCGATTGCAAACCAAAACAAAACCTTACAACATGATTTTTAGCCCGGTAATTTATATTTTGATACTCATTGCTCTCTTTTAGAATAAAGGAAGGTTTTTGTGTCTTGCTCAACAATTCATAATATGAGTGTCAAACTAGGATAAAAGAACCGACAAGCTTGATACTGAAAGCGCCAGGAAAAAAAATTAAGCAAGGATTTTCTTCGGCTGAATAATTCAAAAATTGCTTTAAGATTAGTTCAATCGGGTGGGATGAAAACTGCACAAAGGCTTTGTAAATATAGCTAATTGCAAATACCAATTTTAAGGTTTTGGATTGAATTCGAATAAAAGAAGGAGATGTGAGTAACAAGTTTATAAACAAAGAAATGAAAACGGTGATAACCGACTGCTGGAAAAGTGATTCGTGTTGTTTAACATTGAAAGTTAAATTCAATCATTGACAACAACTTTTTCTGATAAGTAGAAAACTAGCGGGAAAAAAATTCAATGAAAAACTGCAGAATCTAGATTCATACAGCAAAAATGGAAAACAGAGCAAAAATGTCAAGATGCATAAAGCAAGATTGCAGTACTTACAGCACGGTTATAAAGCTAATGAAGCGACATCATGAGCCACCTGTTTTGCTTTACTTTAGCGGTTTTCCTGGCTGACTTGCTTGATTCTCCCTTCAGATTCTTTGTCTGAATAATAAAATTCACTTTTCCCTAGCTAATGCTAATAATAGCGCAAGTTTTACGAGAAAAATGGTTTGAAAATGACGGTTTTTGCTCATTCACAAACAACAAAGCAACTTTTGAATGAAGCTGCCAACGATTCCGCCTGGGTTAGCGGGCAAGATCGTAAAATACCGCCTGCCTTCGGGACCAATCAGATAACAGGATTTGGAGGATTCCGCCCGCTCGCAAGCTTGGAAAAAATAAATAATCTTATTATATTTCTACAATAGTACGCGCCCTCTGATTGGCTGTTTTCTTGTAATGACCGGGCATTACTAGCTAGGTGTCCGAGGCATATACAATCTGTGTTCAACTTGATAGTGGACATCCTTATGGACATCCATGTTATGATCAATTGACAGCCGTCACAAAGGGAATCCACTGACTAGTGTCACATGACTGTATGACAGCCTAAAGTGTACAACTCATTGAGGTGACGTGTTTTTTAAAGTTATCCGCTGACCAGTTATTGGTTTTAATTGATCGTACGTTCAGGTCCAAACTAGACAGATTTCCTGTCGCATGACAAAAAGTAAAGTTAATATTATAGCAATAATTTAAAGCAAGTTATTATTCGTATAGGTAATAGCATGATTAGTAGTGATATTTGGCATAAATACCACGAGTGATATTTCAAAATTGTTAGACGTAATTTCACGAGCCGTTAGGCGAGTTAAATTTGAGACAATTTTCAAATATCACGAGTGGTATTTAAGCCAAATATATCGTACAAATCATGCTATTATTTGTTTTATACTACTACCCGCAAAAGGTTGCAATATTCACATGTAGATATTTCAAATTAAGCTGAAATAACACTGCTCTAAGCCAATCAAATTGCAGAAATTTCTCATGTAGTAGTATAAATCCATTAATTTCACTTTCACTATTTGTAAGAATAGGTCCAAGTGTTCTCATTTATTCTACGTTACTAATAAGATGCCATTTCGTTTTCTTCGACAAGGGGGATTTTACAGCGACGAAGTAGGATATGTGGGTAGAAGTTGTAAAAAGTGCCCAAATGGTTCTTTCGTTGGACCCGATGAAGCACCCGGGACGCAAGCTGCAGATTGTAAAACTTGCCCTTTAGGTATGTGATCAAATTTCATTGCATTAAATTTTACGATCAAAGTTTACTTTAATTTTTTTTGTCTGCTACTGAGAGACAGCCCGTGCTTTATCGCTAGTTAGTTTTTACTAACCATTTAATTCTGAACGAATTGTACATATCAGTTGTGATAGCCAATTGCAATAAGCTGATTATTAATTTAGCATTAACAGGGTCGAGACAAAATTCCAGCTTGTCATTTTAATTTGGGCGAGAAGATCTCTTTTTGCTTCATGCCCAGGGCCAGTCTTTGCTCGTCTTAGTTAATGACTGTGTTTGAGGACGACTTGAACCTCCAGACCCTTGGCCATTGGCAAAGAAAACTACTACTTGTTCCGGACGTTTGGAGCTTTGACCAATTATTATTGGTAACAGCCACAACCGATAATAAACATATGAGTCATCCATAGAGTAAAAACCTGTAAAAGTCATTCATGCTTGACGTAAGACAGAAAAAAAAAACGCAAAGCCAAAACGAGAAACAATTTCACCCTTTTCATCAAGGTAAACCTGCAAATGGAGAGTAGAGATTAAGGTAATTGATCGTTCTTGTATGTTCCTTTTTTATGTTCTCGTCAGATGTTGAAGTTCATATCTAAATTAAACTAAATTAAATGAGTCAGTCAAATCTGATAAGCTAAATACACTAAGAGGGTGCTTTCAAGTCACATATTTTTAAGTCATGTCTTAATTTCCAATACATGCTGAACTGAGTATCAAAATGCATTAAATTAAATTTGTTTTTCTTGAATCAAGCATACTTAGTTTTTGAAAATGATTTTTTTCGCGTTTGTGTTCGCAGGAACAAAGAGTGACTCGTTTGCTGGACTGCGTGCTTGTTCATGCTTGGAAGGACATTACCGAGTTGACATGTTCGACCAATGCCGTAAATGTTCTCAAGGACTCATATGCCAGGAAGAGTTCGCTACATTGAGACCTGGTTATTGGTGGAGATGGCGAAACACGACTCGTAAGGATCGCTATCAAGTTTTCATAGCCAATCTCTTGTCAAAGTCGGTTGTTGATAAAAGGAATGTTCATTTTCCTCATCTTTTACCATCGCCATACAAGTGCCCAGACGAAAGGTCGTGTAAAGGTGGCTTGGATTCCAGTTGCGAGGAAGGCTACAGTGGACCACTGTGCAGTGTGTGTACTAAAGGACACTATAAGCAGGCACATCAATGTAAAAAATGCCCATCTGCAGCTTGGATAGCAACCCAGCTTGTAATCGTTGCTATCACTATATGTCTCATCATCGCCTTCTGTGTATGGACAAGCAAAAAAAAGAGTTCGAAAGATGGCGGGGACGTCACTTTATCAGCCATGTTTTTATCCAAAATCAAAATTGCCATTGGATTTTATCAGGTAACCAATGGTTTGCTTCAAGCATTCTCGTACATTAAATGGCCAGGGTCCATGCGTGTCATTAGCAAATATTCAGAAATACTTCAGTTTAACATACTTGAGATTGCACCAATTCACTGCCTTTCCTCAGGATTGAAAGCAGATGTCTTTGCAAACCTTTTTACGATGATGACAATCAATGGTGCAATGATTGCTTTTGCGGGGATTACCTTCATTGTATTCAGACTGTTTATTTTAAGGGACAAGACTTTGGAAGGCAAAGAAATGTCAATTAAGATTTCAGGGGTTAAAGAAACCATTTATAGGAACTTGTTTTTCTTCTTGTATGTGACCTACCTCGATACGTGTTCGAAGACAGCATCTGTGTTGCCTCTTGCATGTCGAGAACTTTGTCATGACAAAAACGAAGACCACTGCTTGGAATACCTGAGGACAGACTTAAGTATACAATGCCATGATTCTCGATACAACAATTTGGCTATAATAGCCTACCTGTCTACGGTATACGTGCTTGCCCTCCCTGTTGCCACATTTATTATTCTTTGGAGAAAACGCAAGGACATTCTCATGATGGCAGATGGTGAAGAGGGCGATAATCAAAGATTAGGTTCGGAAGTAACGATGGGACTGCAATTTCTCTTCGAAAACTACAAAGGTACTTCGTGGTATTGGGAATTTGTAGAAATGTCTCGAAAGGTGATCATAACATCTGGCTTGATTCTCATTGGACAGGAAAGCAGGTCCTATATTGGCCTGGCATGGGTTATTGCCGGCATTTATGGTGTGTTTTTCGCCTGGAATCATCCCATACAGGACGCGTTCGAGAATCGATTAATGACCACTTCTGTAGCTGTCACTGTTTTCAACTTGGGTATAGGGTCTGTCAGTAAGATACCCTCTGAAAATGTGCCCACGTCAACAGATTCGTACTTAGACACCTTCACATTCAACATTTTGATTCTTGGAGCTAATACTTTGGTCATCGCACTACTTGCATGTAAGTTAGTTAGAAGTCGTCACTTTCGTTTAAGTAAGCCTTATTACACTGCTCATTATCCTGGTTTCCATATTATCAAACAACTAAGAATGTTTCTAGTCCCCTATAGACACGAGGTATTTCTGTATACCAGGGATCTCATCTCTTCAGCGTTATAATCGCTTGTTCCATTTTTGTACCTGGGTGTCATTTATGTATCTCTGATACATGTATTTTTAGCCGTAAAAGTTTTCATACCGTGACCTCAGCCAGGGCCAGATGAATCGGACCCCTCAATTCGGAGATCTAACATTAGACATCTGTGGCCCTACAACAAACAAATTGTTGCTGTTAAGAGGGATTTGCTGTTTGCCAAGGAGATACGGCTACACATTCTTCAGCAATGGTTTCTCCTCTAGTGCCATTAAACTGATTACAGTCAAAACGGTATAACGAAAGAGGGTCAGGAAGAGAGAGGAAAGGTCCAAGAGAATAAGTACATGGCCATTTAAGTTTTGAATTTTGTGCTTTTGTTATTTTTCTTTTTGTCGTTATTTCTTGTGTTTTCTATTTTTGTAATTTGCCTTCATAAGAGTGTCGCCTGGCTAGGTTTTTCTAAAAAATGTATGGCTGCTTTTTGATTATTTTAATTTAATTTTTTTGGCTTTCTATCATTATGTTTTTCATAAAATGTACAACACTGTTTCAATAGACGAATAGACATAGTCGAACAGGCCACTAATGTACCCTGTTGCCTTTTCCAGTTGAATATTTTCTGCACCTATATGGTTACCTCAAGGAGTGGCGGAAAAATCCACAATGGTCATTTTCGTGCTGTTTGGCTTTGGTTCTTCCCCTTATCAGTTTGCCTGGAGATATCACTGGTCTGGCCAATGCAAACATGATACGTGACCAGCTAGACTCTGGAGATGTTGAACTACCTACTCTATCCGGTGCAATGCAAGACAGTGGGGCTCTTGATGTCAGTCTTGAAGAAGGTGAAGACGATGGTGAAAACCTGCAAGAAGCACAGAACGAAAATGAAAGTGACGTTGGGTCCCAGACTGTAAAGAAAGAGGAAAATTTATCAGTAGATAGTGCACATGATAGGGTACCGAGACAAGGTGATCTGAAAACAAAGATGAGGACTCATAACATTACCCATCGAGCTTTTGGGACTAATGACGTCAGTAGCATTGATGTTACAGCACATTGCAGATCAAATAAATGCAATCAAGAGTCGCAAACAGAGATTTCTACTATCTTCTTCATTTCTCAGTTAGGAGTGAAGAAGCCCTTTCCGAAGAATACGGCCGTCTTGTAGTCATCTGTAAGTGCAATTTGTCAGGGGAAAATTATAACTTCATATAACAAATACCTCATTAACAGGCTAACTTGTAGTTATACCTTGACCTGCCTTAAAAATATGTATTATTCCTTCTATACATTTAACTTGCGTCATCCAGGACTCGAAATTAAGGTCATGGGGTACACTGACCAGAGGGTCTCAATGGGGTGGTCGCTTTTACGGCTATCGGCTAAAACTTTGGCTCTTTTACGGCTATCGGATAATTTTTTTCAGTTACGGTTAACAAAAAAAGTTAAAAATCAACTTCTTTTGTTTCAAAAAGTTAAATATTAATTAACCTGTATTTTTTTGAATGAGGGTCTGCGGATCATCTCGGGATGAAATAAGCTATTCTTTTGAAAACTTTTAACATTTGACAGATCATACTTTTTATAAAGTATTCCACTTCTCATATTATTTTACACATAGAAATGTCAATAGTCAATTTAAAAATAATCTTTGTGAAAAAGCAAAAGCAGACACGCGAACGCCAAATCAAGGCCGCGGCGCGACATTCATTATGACAGAAATGGCCGTTTTCACACTAGAGAAGGATTATTCGTGTGAGACGGGTTATCCGTTTGATGATTCTCGTCAGATAGGTAATATGTCTTAATTTGAAAATGGAATAGTTTTAATTTTGAATGAACAATCCGCCTGACTTTCGAAGACGGTATTATCCGTTCCAGATAGCCTGTGTACAGCCGCCCCCTCCCCTCAGAAAAAATCGTAGAAGGGGTGTCTGTGGGGAGGACGCGACTGTACACAGGCTAGTCTCAGACCGAGATGATCCATTTCTAGCCATAGTGTCAAAACGGCCAATAACAAAATTCCCGTGTGCAGTGTTTTTAATGATTGCGAAGGACTGTACGGAAAGATTGTCTGCCGTTGCCTCGTCCCGTAGGCCGCATTATTCCGCACGGCTAATGCCTTTCGGGTCACGTGGTCCGAGCGAGTTCGCCACCGAAATGCCTTGACCGAAATTGTGTGGGTAGACGCCGTACAGGGACTAGGCATGGCAATGTCTACAGTAGCGTCGGAGAAAAACAGGGGGGGTGATGAATGGTCCATTAAAATTTTTAACTGCTCGCAAAATTTTAGCTTTGCTCGATTTGCTCGCAAACTTTAAACGAGTGCTCGCTTTTTCGTGCTCCCCAAATTTTTGCAGTTGTTCGCATGCTTGCTTAGGCTTGTCAGTATTGCTCAAAATTTTGTAAACCCTTCTTTGGGTAAAAGTGAATGTAATTCTCTATTTAATTCCTATAAATATGACTATCAAGTTTAGTGGAAATGTACGCGATAAATTAGGTAATCCAGCTATATATGGTTATATATGGTTGTTCTTCCTGTGACCTTTGCTTTCTGATCCGTAAGAACACGTGCGTGATGAAGTGAAGCCAAAATGTGACGTCATTTGGCATCAAACGCGACTATAATTGGTTAGATCTCGACAAGGTGTCACTCAAACTAGCTTCAAAGAACTTGGTGCGCTCCAAATTAAAACCCCGTTTCATAATATTTTCTGTTTTATTTTAAAGAAAAGGATTTCCATATGGATTGCTGCAAGCGGAAAATATAAGAAGTGCGCGCTCCTCGCAAAGCAAATTTTTTATCTCTGCTCGTGTTCGCAAAAAAATCACAGTGCTCGCATGCTCGCGAATGCTCGCAAAGACCATTCGTGACCCATAACAGGGAAATGTTGCTTATCGGCAACGTGTTTTACAAAGAGTGACATCTCTATGTGTTGTTTCACTAGTGTTTCGAGGGCATGACCTCCGGAAAATTGCAAATATCAATCCCCAGCAAGAAGCCACACTTTCGCTAGTTAGTTCCCAGAGAGAGCACCGGAAATGGAGCCTGGGTCTTGGTTAACTCCTAAAAGGCGCTTCGCCTAACGTGCGTATGGGGTCACACTAGCCGGGAAATAAAAAACGCAACCATAAGTGAATTTAGTACCTTCTTTAAAAGTAGCAAATCTAGGGAACACTTTCTTTTACGGTTAACTCTTTTTTACCCTAATTATGGGATGAACAAGATGTGCTATGGGAATGTGAAAGAAGCGAATATCACTGGTTTACCTCAATTCGTTACCAAGGCCAAGGCACGGATTTCCATACCTGTATTTAATTCGTGGACACAAAATTATCAAAAAGTGTTTTTTGGGATTTTTGAAGGTGTTCGACCAGATAACAAGTTCCACGGCCAAAAACAAAAATGATTTAACCAAAAGAATCAAATTCCTTGTTCTCATTGTGAAATCAGAAAAAAGCCCTGCGTTCTTGAAACAGAAATATAAATAATAATAAGGAGGACAACAGTGTTTCAATTGTTTCGAATGAATAACGACCTGGGTTTTTCTTCAGGCAAGTCGTGTACCTAAACGTGTACCTATGATCACAATTGTCCCCCACGACTTTTTATTTGAAAGATGCATTTATAACCGTCGCCTTCGAACCACCTGATTATCCCTGAACTATAGCCCAGTACCTCCAAGCTTCAAGGGTATAAAAGACATTCTACATACACTAATAGACATACTTTTCCCCTCTCTCAAGAGCTGTTGGTAGACACACACGTTGTTGAGTCAACGAATCTCGTGCCTTTATGTACATTTAATGGCTGTATTTAACTTGCTGACTTGAACTGCTGACCTTTTGAGCACATTACTAGGAAAGGCAGTCTGGCGTTACCAATCATTGTACTGATTGTTGAATTACTTGATTACATTATGTACATCAATAGAGGCTTTAAAGTAGTGTTACTTGTATTAAAGGCTTCGACTCGCCCAATCCTCCACGGGCCCAACCATGCAAAAGATTGTTTTCCGGAAAAGAGCGAACGTCAATTTCCTTTTGCAACATTCCGTCGGGAGAAAAAGTACTACGTTTAATAAGTCGTTGCTATGACTCCGGAAACTTTCAACTGGTACCACCTATAGCATAGCGCATTGTAAGTCCTATTGACTCGCTATGAAAAAAATCTCTATTTACGCACGCCCGTGTGTACAGTTGTGTCTATGAAACTCAGATGTTTGTTCTTTTTCTCAAACAATTATGAAAAACTTTCGAGCATTTTTGGAATTGAGCTTCTAGCCACTAAAAGAAAAACCAAAAGAGGTGAAGATTTTTCGAAAATCAGAGCCTAAGTCATTGAGAAGTGTGGCGTTAAGACTAGCATTCAGCTGCAAAAATCCCGCAAATCGCTAGTCCATGTCGGGAAAATCTAGTTATAAAGTGTCCTCCTTTTTTTATCCGTTAGAAAAGAAGTTAATTATAAAGTGGTAGCGAAAAATTTACACTTTTGTTATGTCAGATTGAGCTGGAACAAAGACTTGTACCTCGATTTCAAGAAAAATACAATATCTCAAAATAAAACTTATATCTCTTATTGAAACCATATCTGTTAAACGCGAGGAAAAAAGGAAATTTAAGAGTTACATCAATTGTTTCGGTTTAGGACGTGTACATTTCTTCTTCTGGGTTAGATGACAGCCAAGCGTTAAAGATCGCAGAGGAGACATTCTTTCTTAGCCAGGATAGTTTGCTGGCGTAAAAATCCCCCTTTATACTGAGACCTTCAGCAATAAAGGTTATATCACCTGACATCAACCACTTTCCTCGCGTATAGTTGCTTCTTTGTATTTTTTATGTTCATAGTACTCAGATCTCCGGCACAGTTTCTCCCAACGCGGACCGATGTAAGCTGAGGGATAGGGAAAAAAAGAAGAAGAAGAACTGGTGATAGCTATTGTTCACGGGACGGGACATTAATACGGACACCGCCGTCAAATACTGAGTCATTTTTCTTTCTTTCTGGGCTTCAAAATGAAATGGTCACAATTCTGTTTACTTTAGTAACAGTGGAACCCTGCTATAACGAAGATCCCGTTATAAAGAAAAACATCTGAAAGCGCGGCATAGAAGACGCGAGGCTGCGAGGTGGCAGCATAATAAAGCCGTGAGCGAAAGTTCCAAGGCTAAATGAATCTCGAAGCGATGTAACATAAGCTAATGTAAGGTAACTATTATGACGTAATGCAGAACAGAGAATGTATTGTTTTCGAGCTTTGCATTCACGTAAATTACGTTAATTTATGACATTTCTAAAAAATGAACAGCGCGCGTATAGGTAAAATACGTAAAATCGTTGGTACTGAGCGATAGCTATAAATAGTATAATAAGTTGATCATACAACGGATAAAACGGACAGTGACATGAAATAACTGAGGATTAATTGAGGCTTGATTTCGCTTGGCTATTTACATAGTTCTGTTTTCTCAGTAAAAAAGGGAAAGAGGAATGGGTGGATGGTTCAACTTTAAGAGAGGCGTATAGCTAAGAAAGCGATTAGCTAGAGGGTAACAAGTGCAAGTCAACAAAATTTAAATAAGAAAGGTTTCCATTTGTTTGAAAAGGCGGTTGAAGAATTACAGCGAAGTGTTTAAATTGTTTTTCGATCTCAGTGACTGAATTTAGCTTAACCTTGAAGAGGGACATGCAAGGAGACGCTCCAGCTAATTGCGCGAGTAGATATGATATCTCCCATGGAGAAGAAAGAGGTCAATGGCTGTAAAGGTTGCAACTTTAGACAGTCCCGTCAGATGAAGTTCACCAGTTAAGGCAGCATTGCTCTTGATAAG